TCCAATATTTTGTCAGCGTATTTTCCGAAAGTTGTAAGAAAGCTTTCGAATTCAAATGCCTTATTCAGCAGTGAGAGAGCAGCCAAATTCACGGTTTTGTAGTCCTGATGGCCTGAACGTGAACATTCATCGAAGGTTTTTTCGTTTGCTTAAAAAATGTGTTCAAGATGATAAATATTCAAATTCAATCACCTCTTGCCAATAATGTCGCTGCTTTTTGGTGAATGTTTGATGATTCCTCTGATAGCTCGCGGATATCGATCTCTCTACAAGTTTCATCCAGTTCGATCAATGTTCTCCAACATTTGCAGACAACCTCTACCAAACATTCTTTATCAACGTTTTTTATTGCCAATTTCAGCTATGCATAAAGTACATTATTTGCAGAAAAACTATTTTGAAAACTATTGTTTGTATGAATGAAATAAACTTACGTTTTCGACTAGTTGCTTGCGATCGGTTACTTCGATTTCTGAATATTTCAAACGGAAATAATTTTTCAGAGAACCAATATCACTCGAACACTGTCGTAGGAACTCCAATGCTGCTTGTTTGCGGACATCCTCATGTTCATTTTGTTGCCCAATTATTTCAGTCACCTTTACGATGTGTTTCCCAAAACAACGGGAATGTTTTTCAAGTTGAGTGTACGCACCATAATGGTTTTCTTTGTCCGAACATATTTGTACAAACACATCAATCAAATCAAAACTAGTTTCTTCGTCCGACATGATTTCTTTCAATCCGCAATATACGACCGGCTAATAGAAACTTTTCCAGGCATTTTAGATTATGTGGTATGTGTCATGTTTACAATCAATTTGAGTATGTTTCTTGAGGGATGTACTAAAGAAGGGTGTTTTTTGCGTTCTTTTGTTGGTATCTATGTATAAATTTAGTATTGAACGAATATATGACATTTGTCTAATAGCCAAAATACAAAACCCGTGAAAATATTCGATCCATGTATTTTCAAATAAAATACGACGCCAATTTGTATTATATTTTCGATAGAATCGTTATCATTCACAAATATCATGGATTCAAACAAAAAAACAACGATTGAACACGTGAATAAACAATACTACTCTTCTGAGCATTCAGCAGAAAGCTCAGATGAGTCAGTTGAAACAGCCCAACTTAGTAAAATAATTGGATTAGTGAAGGAAATATTAAATAAAAACCACGAATACTCATTTAAATTAATTGAATTTATTGAGAAGTCAACTAAATTGAATGAATTACCAAATTCTTCTATGAACGATTCGGAGCCTATAGAAAGTGCATCAGACATAGTCACAAAGCATTCGCTTGAGAAAATTTTGCAAAGTGAAATAGCCGAAATTGCGAAAGAAATGTTGAATAAAAACAATGAATATGCATTAAAACTGAATACGATTATTGAGGAGTCAACAAAATCAAATGACTTACCAGTTTCTCCTATGAATGCTTCTCCTGTGAGTTCTCCTATGGACGTTTCGGAACCCGTAGAAAGTGCATCAGACATACCAATATTGACGAAGATTACAAGTTTGACCACTGATTGTATGGAATCGATTTTTGAGAACTTGGACATGTATGATCTGATAAACGTTGTTGACAGCAACAAACAATTTTATGCTGCGGCATTCCATGTATTCAGAAGAAAGTACAAAGATACATATTTTATACTTGGATCGGACATTAGTCTTTCGAAAAGGTATTTCTTGCAATTCATTCATTAGTCCAGGAAAATTGAATTTGTTTAATGGTACAACATTTTATTTGTTTTTAATAGGGATTATGCAGCTGGTTTCAGATCATTCTCGAGGGATCCGAAAATAATTATTACGAACCCATCTGTGGCATTGAAGTTTTTGCGCAATTTTGGATGCATATTTGAGGAATTGACTATCAGTTTTAGTTTCTTTCATGTAAACATTTGTACTCAAATTGAATATTATTTAGCCGAATTCTGCGCTAATACACTGAAGCGACTGTCATTGGAGTGTAATAAATCCAAAAACCTTTTTGAAGGTTTACACAATCAGCTGAAACAAGTTACAAGTCTGCAAATATGCTTAGTGAATAGTGAATCACGTTTAGAACTCACTCAACATTGTCTCGAAAAACTACCAAGTCTCCAATACTTCAATGTGGTAAACAATATGGCGATTTTCCATGGTCCATTAAGCAATTTCCCCTTACGTACAGTACAACATTTGAAGATTGATAATTTTGGTACCATTATGTATAAAAATCCATTTGATTTGAAGAATCTAAAACATTTGTGTATTAATGGCGAAATAATAATTACTGAATATATGAACAGATCTTTTGGTGCGGCTGAAAATCTGGTGACATTGAAATTGATGGAAATTGAAGATTATTTTGCAAAAGACTTCGAAGATTTTTGGGAATTGCCAAATATTCTATCAAATATCGAAGAAATAACGATTGATTTGAATAGGGATATTAATTCCGAACATATCCTTCGTTTTTTGGAACGATGCCAGAGACTAAAAAAAATGGCTCTTCTTAAGCATAGAGGAAGAGGATCAGATATCTTGGAGAATATAACATCAAATTTAAGCAATGAATGGACATTTCATGTAATCAATCCTTTCATAGAACATTGCAAGTATTGTGAATGCTATGTCATTGAAAGATTAGAATCCACAACGGAAACTACGACTAGAACACAAACATCCGTATTAGGAAATTTGTTTGAAAACTGTGTCAATGTGTCGAAACA